CTCTCTTTCTCCCTCTCTCTCTCTTTCTCCCTTTCTCTTCCTCTCTCTCCCCCTCCCTCTCTCTCCCCCTCCCTCTCTCTTTCTCCCTTTCTTTCTCTCTCCCTCCCTCCCTCTCTCTTTCTCCAGCATGGTGGACTTTATGGCCAGATAATAATATCTTTTAGCCAAAGTGAAGCTAATCTCATAGAACATAGAATTCTGTCCAGGCTCTTCTTAACGCCTGGTGGCAACTTCTGTTCCCCTGATTGATTGTTCTGACTCTCAGGAAATTTCTCCTTAGCCCCAGGTGGCTTCTCTCTCCTTGATTAGTTTCCACCCATTGCTTCTTTTTCCTCTGGTGCTTTGGAGAATAATGAGACCCCCCCCCCTCTCTTCTTTGGGGCAGCCCCTCAAATATTGGAACCTTGCTCTTAAGTCCCCCCCCCCGGCCGAAACCCCAAATCCCACAGCTGTTCTTCCTATGTTTTAGTCCCCGGGCCTTTCACCCGATTCCTTGTATTTATGTTGTCCAACGACAGTCAAGATTATACAAATTAATCCTCTCCGTTTCTCTTCTTTGCACTTCCCCCAAAATCTCAACATCTTTTGTGCAACTTTGCTGTCAGTTTTGGTGACACAATTGGGTGCAGGGTTCGGGGGGGGGGGCTTGGGGAGGCTTTTTAAAGGGCTCCGGGGGATTCCATGCCTCTGTTTACGCCACCCGGGATCCTGTTAGCTTCCTTGCCTGTTGCCAAGCGCCCACATTTTGCTTCCATGCCCGTGAGGGTGCAGGGACGGTCACAAGTGCGAGGAACGGTCAGAAGCCGTCTCTTTTCCGTGCCGCTGTCATTTTGAACGGGGGCTGTTTTTCCCTCCTGCAGATTACCTGTGCACTCCGGACGAGAACGTGTACAAGATCGACTTCACCCGGTTTAAGATCCGGGATATGGAATCCGGCACGGTGCTTTTTGAGATCACTAAGCCCCCGGCCTCAGGTGAGACGGCGGCCATCGGCCCCCTTTGCTTTCAGGGCAGTTGCCCTTTTGAATGGTCGCTAAATGGAGGTTGCAAGTGGAGGATCTCCTGCACCCCTCTTCTTCTTCCGACGTGCTTTGAAGCTTTTCCCGTTTTTGAAACGAGAACGGCTGAAACGAGGCGCACAACGGCGCTATTCGAGTGCCCATTCCGGCCGCTTTGGACTCCTTCCTTCGCTTTGCGTTGGAGGAATTACAGGTAGTCCTCGACTTATGACCACACAATGGAGCTCAGCGTTTCCATTGCTAAGCAAGGCGGTTGTTAAGTGAGCTTTACCCCATGCGGCAACATTTCTAAGTGAATCACTGCAGCTTGTTAAATTGGTAACGTGGTGGTTAAGTGGGTCGGGTGTCCCCCCCAACTGAATTTGGCTTGTCAGAAGGTCGCAAAAGGAGGACCACGTGACCCCGGGTACCCTGCAAGCGTCGTAAGTGCGGGCCAATTGCCGAAGGTCTGAATCTTGCTGCGACTGTCGTGTGAGAAACGGCCCGAAGTGGCTTTTTTTCAGATGGGCAGGAAGGGATTCCTTGCCCTGCGGGAGGATTTCGGGGGGGTCCCTTTTGGGGGGGGTGAGCTCCTTTTTGCCCCATGAAAGAGGGGAGGGGGAATACGGCGGACGGACGGAATGGTCTCGCACTTGGACCCCAACTTCTGTAGCTGGAGCGACTCATCCTGGTTCCTGGGGGGGGGTGTCTCCTGTGCCCCCTCAGAGCTCAGGGGTGGCAGGGGCTGTGCAGTGGTTAAATGCAGCACTGCAGGCTACTTCAGCTGACTGCCGTTCGGCAGTTCGGCTGTTCAAATCCCACCAGGCTCACGGTTGACTCAGCCTTCCATCCTTCCGAGGTGGGTAAAATGAGGACCCAGACTGTGGGGGCGATATGCTGACTCTGTAAACCGCTTAGAGAGGGCTGAAAGCCCTATGAAGCGGTAAATAAGGCTAACTATTGTGCCACCCTTAGCTGCCCGCAGCTTCTCTCAGGCCAAGGCCGTAGAACCTCGGGCACTTTAAGACCCGAATCCCCCAGCCGGCCCTGGGAGTTGACCTCCACCCGTCTTAAAGTGCCCGAGGGTCTCAGGCCTTCCTTTCGCCCAGCTGGGCTTCCCGTTTTACGGAGGGGGGGAGGGGAGGGGTGCAGGAGTGGCTTCCCAGCAGAGGCCTCGGGGGGGGGGCAGAGGGGTTGGGCATCCTCTGGCCACGGGGGCAACCGGGCGCCTCTCTCCTCTCCCGGCAGAACGAGAGCGCAGCGAAAAGAAGGAGGGCGACCCCAACGCCGGGCGGTTTGTGCGCTACCAGTTCACCCCAGCGTTCCTGCGGCTGCGGCAGGTGGGAGCCACGTAAGTTCCTGCAGGGGCCTGAAAGGGACGACGGCCTTGCTTTAGGTCTCGGAGGTCATCTAGTCCAACCCCCTGCTCAAGCAGGAGAGCCTAGGCCAGGCAGAACCTGAAAACCTCCCGGGATGGGGCACCCACAACGTCTCGGTCCTGGGGCTTCCCGGGAGTACTGGACTACAGTTCCCATCGTTCCCAGAAGGGATCGGTGCACCCTCCCCGTGTTGGCCCTGTTTTCTGCTCAAAGGATTCTGGGCCAATGTTGGTTGGCTGGCTGGCTGGCAGCCTTCCGGAAGCTGAGACCCCTGCCCCACCCCCACCCCCCAGCTCCGTTCCTGACGGGGCCCAATCCCAGCGCTGAGTGCGAGTGTCGCGCAGCCATCTCTGCCAGGGATTTTGCCCCCTTGCAGGCTGTGGGATCCGGTCTGAGCTCTCAGGGTGGGATGTTCAAAAGACGGCAACTGGGAATCCGATCCTTTTTCTTCTTCTTCTTCTTCTCTCCCCCCCCCTCTCTCCCTTCTTTCTTTCTCTCTCTTTTTTCTTCCCTCCCTCCATCTTTCTTTTTCTTTCTCTTTCTCTCCATCTCTATCTTCTTTTTTCCTTCCCTCTCTTCCTTCCTCTCCCTTCCTTCTTTTTTTCTCTCTCTCCATATCTCTTTTTCTTCCTCCCCTTTCTTTTTTTCTTTCTTTTTCTTTCCTCTCTCTTTCTCTCCATCTCTCTCTTTTTTCTTCCCCCTCCCTCTTTCCCTTCCTTCCTTCTTTCTTTTTTCCCTCTCTCTCTTTTTTCTTCCCTCCCTCACACCCTCCCTGTTCCTTTCTCTCTCTCTCTCCATTTCTCTTTTTTCTTCCCTTCCCCCTCTCTCTTTCTTTCTATCTCTCTCTTTTTCTTCTTTCTTTCTCTCCATCTCTTTTTTCTTCCCTCCCTCCCTCTTTTTTTCTTTCTCTTTCTCTCCATCTCTCTTTTTTCCTTCCCTCTCTTCCTTCCTCTCCCTTCCTCCCTCCCTTTTTTCTCTCTCTCCATATCTTTTTCTCCCCCTCTTTCTTTCTTTCGTTTTCTTTTCTCTCTCTTTCTCTCTTTCTTTCTATCTCTCTCTTTTTTCTTTCCTCCCTCCCACTTTCCCTTCCTTCCTTCTTTCTTTCTTTCCTCTCTCTTTCTCTCTCTCCTCCCTCCCTCACACCCTCCCTCTTTCTTTCTCTCTCTCTCCATTTCTCTTTTTTCTTCCCTTCCCCCTCTCTCTTTCTATCTCTCTTTTTCTTCCCTCCCTCTTTCTTTCTCTCCATCTTTTTTCTTTCTCTTTCATCTCTTTTTTCTTCCCTTCCCTTCCCTCTCTCTTTCTTTCTCTCCATCTCTCTTTTTTCTTTCCTCCCTCTTTCCCTTTTCTTTCTTTTCTCTCTCTTTCTCTCTCTCTCTTTTCTCCCCTCCCTCCCTCACACCCTCCCTCTTTCTTTCTCTCTCCATTTCTTTTTTTTTCTTCCCTTCCTCTCTCTTTCTTTCTCTCCATCTCTTTTTTCTTCTCTCCCTCCCTCTTTCTTTCTTTCTTTCTTTCTTTTCTTTCTCTCTCCATCTCTTTTTTCTTCCCTTCCCCCACTCTCTTTCTGTCCATCTTGCTCTTTTTTCTTCCCTCCCTCTCTCCCCTCCCTCCCTCCCTCCCTCCCTCCCTCCGCAGCGTGGAGTTCACCGTGGGGGAGAAGCCCATCAGCAACTTCCGCATGATCGAGAGGCACTATTTCCGGGACCGGCTGCTGAAGAGCTTCGACTTCCAGTTCGGCTTCTGCATCCCGACCAGCAAGAACACCTGCGAGCACATCTACGAGTTCCCCCAGCTCTCCGAGGACCTCAGTAAGCCAGGGGGAGGAGGGGGGCAGCGGGGGGGAGGGTCCGGGCTGCCTGCGGTCAAGCGGCCACGGCTGACCCCTCCCCCCCTCTGCCCCCCTCTCCCGCTTCTCTCCCAGTCCAGGAGATGATCCTCCACCCCTACGAGACCCAGTCGGACAGTTTCTACTTTGTGGACAACAAGCTTGTGATGCACAACAAGGCCGACTACTCCTACAGTGGGGGGCCCTGACCCCCCCCCCTCCCCCTCCCGATGGGGGTCCGGGAGCCTCGACTCACCGGCCGGCTGCAAAAGGGGCAGCCGGACTGGACTCTGCGTGGAACCGGCCTCTGAGACGGACTAGCTGAAGCTTCCCCTCCCCCCTGACGCCCACCCCCCACCCCCTGGACTTTGGAGGCAACGCCCCCCCTCGTCCCCTGCCTTGTGGGGGGGAGACTGTGACGCCCCCCTCCCCACCTCCGTAGCTGCCAGGCATTGCGGCTCTCCCAGTAGTCTCTCTATTGTTGGGGAAGGGTCTTCCTCGAAGCCCCTCTCGTGCTGGGGGGGGTCATTTTGGTAGGAATTCTGCTCCCCCCCCCCAAGAATGGGATGCTGAAGGTCAGCAGGAATCGTGGGAACTCTGGAATGACACAGCCTCCCCCCCCTCGTTCCCAGCTGTGAACATCCATGGGCAAAGACCCCAGACCCATTTCTTTTGCTTGCCGTGTTTGGCTCAGCCCTTCTCCAAGGGTGACCGAGGGCAGGGTGGGGGCAGCGAAGACTCTGCTGGGAGCCTCTCTCCTGGTGGGCCCCCTTTTGCCGTCTTGGGGGGGGGGAGAAGGGGAAGGGGCTTCTGCTGCTGCTGCAAAAGGGCTGATGAAACCATGTTTGATGTGGTGGTGGGTGAATAGAAGACATGCTTTCTCCAACTCTCTCAATGGACTCTTCCTGCCCTCCCCAAATAACTGCCTGGCTCCGTGGGCGTCCGTCTTCGGAAAGGAACCGGGGGGGGAGCTGGGGGGGTGTCTTTTTTTAGAGAAAGAGGCCTGGGTCCCTCCCTGAGCCACTCTTGTCTTGCAATGGGCAGGGGTCTTCCAAAGGGGACGGAGGGGGAGCAGCTCTTCCCTGGGTTCCTGGGAGAGCTGCTTTCCCAGGGAAGGTTTGGGGTTCCTTGAGTTGGGGCCCTGCCGTGGTGTTGTGTTCGGAGTGTGATGGTTCCGGAGTGGGTTGTGTTGGGCCTTTTGTCGGGTGTGATTCACAAAGTCCCTTTCGTGGGCATCGCAATGCAGTCACACACAACGGGGCCCAACTGTGATCGGGCCATCCAAGTGTGACTTTCTCCACCCCCTGCAGACACCCGTGATCGACGCTTGTGGTTGTGTTACCTCCGACGCAATCTGCGTGGGTGCATCACCCATAAAAGCTGAGTTTCCTCCCTCAACAGAGGCAACCTGTGAATTGGGGGGGGGGGCGAGAGGGGAAGGGCTCCTTGGGGGGGTGCACTTAAGAGACCCCCAGTTGGGCAAAGGAAGCCCACCCACCCCTCAGAGATCAGGGCTGGGGGAGGCAGAGGTAGCCTCTTGCAAGGGGCGGGGGCTTCTCAATATTTGGGGGGGTGCCGTGTCTGACTTCTGTGGGGCTAAAGTTGCAGGCAGGCGATGATGGGCCCCTTGGGACCCTTCAAGTCCCCCTTGGAAACTCTCCAGGCAGAGAGGATCAAAGCCTAGGAAGAACCGGGCGTGGCCCGTCTAGAGAAAAGAAGGACGGGGGGACATGGGGGGCATCTTCCAATCATTGAGGGGCTGCAACGAAGGAGAAGGGGGGGTCAACTTTTTCCCCCCAAACACCTGAAGGCAGGGCAAGGAGCCACAGGTGGGAACGGAGGAAGAAGAGAGGCAATCTGCAACTAATTTCCTGACAATTACGGTTAACCAGTGGAACTACTTGCCACCAGAAGTCCTGGGTAGCTCCATCACTGGAGCTTTTTAAGAAGAGATTGGACAACTGCCTGTCTGGAATGTTCTGGGGCCGGTGTGTCAAACCCACATCATCACGGCGTCACCACGTGAAGTATCGTGATTTCCCCCCCCCCTTTGATAAACTCGGCGTGGGTGTGGCCCAGTGTGTGACGCATCTGCCCCGCAGGCTGCGGGTTTGATACCCCTGATCTAGGATGGACTAGAACAGTGTTTCTCAACCTTGGCCACTTGAAGATGTCCGGACTTCAACTCCCAGAATTCCCCAGCAGTGGTTAG